GTTTTTACAAACGGCCGGTAGTGACACACACACACATATATTCATTCATGGGCATTCCTTTTATGAATTAAAATAAGCCTTCGTTGTACTACGTTTATGTCTTTAATATTGGTGATGATGATTCATTCATTGGAAAAGCATGCCTATGATATTCCACAAAGAACCTATTTGATTACTCCCTCCTTCCCAAATTGATAATCATGTACTAGAATCCAAATTTTCTCAAATTGATCATCATATAACTGCATGGACATGGATTTCATCGGAATACAATTAATACAGTATGGAAAAATGTGTGCATGCTAAGGTGTAATTGCTATGGGGTTTTAATCGATGCATGCGTTGTGGGAGAATGTGTGCATGGCGTTTTGATTGATATGATTTAAAATGTTCTTGGTCTTGGCGCATAAACTTATATGATGATTAATTTGGGAATGAGGGAGTACGAAGGAGGAGTAGTACGTAGCTAGTGCCTACTCCCTCCGTACTCATAAAGAAAGTCGTTTGGGACAATGTTTAAGTCAAATTTTGGGAATATAAATCATGGATAACTCTTAAGTTGTTGAGTTTAAAAAAGTAAAAATTATATGAATAGATTTGTCTTAAAAAATACTTTCGTAAAAGTATACATATATCATTTTTCAACAGATATTTTTATAGAAACAAGAAGTCAAAGTTGTATTTTAGAGACCGTGTCGCTGTCCAAAACGACTTCCTTTACGAGTACGGAGGGAGTATATGGCTATCTACACACCGTACATTAAAAGTGAAAACTAGCTTTAGCTCAAAAGTGAGTAGAGGGTTTGTTCATTTCTGAACTTAAAAGATTGAGTGGTCCCATCAAAAGTCGAGTCGAAGATCAAGCTAGAGAGTAAACTCATACGTATGCAAAGTATGAATTTATATATAGAATCCAACTCTAATACTCTTTTACACTTTCTAGTAATTTCTTAATATAATAATTCTGACATATACAATCAATGAATAAAACATCTTGAAGTGGAGTTTTTTTATACTAATGAATCTAAGAGAAAACATTTTTTTTTAAAAAAACAAAGTTATATGCCCTGATCGGCTGCCTTAGGTAACATCGCGGCTGTGTCAAGACATGTAGTACAGCCGATCAAGTCCAGACCCAGTTTGGATTCACAATTATATATAAATATTTTAGGATCTACTAATAATTATGAAATTCTAAACTAATAACAAGCGAGTTATAACTGATGCGAACTCATAATCACCAAATATAAAGTTATACCTAGTATAGATTCTCTTATTTTATTCAACACAAATCTAAAAACAATCTACGGACATGATAATACAATCCACAAATTCAACGATCAGACCTTATAGTTAACATGGAAATAGAACTCCTCGGAGTATTATACTATATAGGTATGAAGTGATATATTTGCATATCAAAATTATAATACACATAGTTAAACATCAAGGGTGATTATCTATGCTTCAAACCATGCAAAAACTCGAGCTATTCATGGTTTTAAGTTGATCTTAAATTAAGCCAACTCATAATCTAATATTTTCATTCCACCTTGCGAATATATAAATAGTATTAGTATTATTCACGTTACGAATTTGTCTTTTTTTTTCTTTCTAAACCTGTACATCAAATTCGAATATGATTTTTTATGGGGTGATAGAAGTTACATACTTTATAATGTTAGTTTTTGTAAAAAGTACGAATTACCCCCCTCAACTATCGCGGTCGATCGAGAATTACCCACTGAACTTGAATACCAGACATTTTACCCCCTCAACTATGAAAACCGAACAAATTACCCCCCTGGCTCAATCCGGAGTGGATTCAATCCTACGTGGCAGTCCAATAAACAATTTTTTTTCAAAAATTAGTTGGCCTCACATGTCATACACTTCCCCTCACCGCTCTCTCTCCCCTTTATCCCTCTCCTCCTCAATCCCCATCCTCTCTCTCTCTTCTCCCTCCATTCACCTCCATCTCTCTCTCTAGAATCGAGCTAAGCAGGGAGGAGGCGGAAAATTCCCATAAGCTGGTGACGGTGGTGGCCTCCAAGGGACGGAGCTGCACAGTGGCGGGGCTGCATCAGCGACGAAGCTCGACGATGGCTCGCCTCAGAGAGGGTACTAGAGGCATCGGTAGCGATGGTGGACTCGAAGCTCGTGCAAAGACGGCGGCTGTGGTGGTGGAGCTGGAGCTCGCATGAAGGCGGAGACGAGCCCGCCGTCGTCACCTAGCTCGCCATCGCCTCCTCTCGCATTTCTATTCCCCTTTTCTTCCCAAATCCCGGTGTCCGCTTCCCCGTCGAACACCGTAGCCACTCCGTTGTGTCACCGCCATCGCCCCCTCCTCATTCGAATGCTGGAGTTGCCGTCCCTTCTTTTTTTTAGATCAGATCTATATTACTATTGGCCTGGCTTTGAAAGAAAGCCAAAGGAGCAGAACAGAGTCTTGTACAAAAAGAAAGGAAAACAACACACAAGCATGGAAAAACAAAAGGGCTGGGGACACCAGCTGGACAAGCTTGTAACTCATGGTGCACAAGATCACCACCAGCAGCACAAACTCACACCCTAAACCCGTACAATGTCAGATACGCTACAGGGAATTTGGTAGACAATGTTGCTTTACTTGGGCTAACTTATCCAGCAGCGCTTCACACCATTGCTCCAGAACTGCAGCCTCTTCCTCTTTTAGCAAAACGCTCCACTTCTGGGCAAAAGCGAGAGCTCGGTAAACGATATGCAAAGGAGACTTAATCAAGATATCATTAAAAACCCAGTCATTTCGAGTAAGCCACACAGCCCAACAAAGACTAGCAACCAACAGCACCCAAACCTTGCGAGTCCCCTTATCTCTCCTAAGCCCCATACATTCCCAGAAGGAAACTGGGAGTTTTTGTAAGTTTAAAGCCTCTTTCATTACACACCAAGAAAAAATAGCAACTGGACACCTAAACATAACATGATTAGGGGTTTCAATTTTAGCACAAAGTTTACAGAATTCATCACCACCCTTCCAATTCCTCTTAACTAAGTTTGCTGCACAAGGAATTCTCTCTCTCCCAACCAAAAATAAGAAATGCTTAATTTTCAGTGGGATTTTCCCCTTCCAGATCTCCCGCCTATCCACATCCCTCCTCCCCCCTCCAAAGTAAGAATGTGGTACATCGATTTAGTGCTGAAAATATTTTTCTCGGTATAAGGCCAAATCACTTCATCATTCCCATCATCCAACTTCACCTCAGCTAACATATTCCTCACTTCTACTAACTCCCCATATCTGTGGTCATCAAGCATTCTTCTAAACTCAAGTTTCCAGCCCCCATCCCAATACAGGTCACGAAGCCTTCTGATCATAGCTGATTTCAAACAGCTCAAGAAACCTTACTCTCAAAGGGACATCTCCTAACCACACATCATTCCAAATTTTGACACCCCTACCATTATGGACTCTTTGAGCAACCAACTTAGAGAGCCAAATCTTGCATTTCTGCAGGCCTTTCCAAAATTGGGAGCCACCAACCTCATAACAATAAAAAAAAACCTCTATTACTAAGATATTTCTTCCTCAAAACTTCAAAACACATATTAGTTACTCCATTTTCTAGTTTCAGAACCCATTTATTGAGAAGACAAAGGTTCATAATTCTGGTATCTAAGAAACCCAATCCTCTAAATTCCTTAGATTTGCACAAAGCCTCCCATCTAATCATGTGGTATTTTTTTCTTTTCTCCCACCCCGTTGCTGAGCCTTCTGACGCTGGCCCTTCTCCATTAGTGCTCCAGCCGTGGTGACTGTGCTCATGGCGCCATGGCTGGCGGCGACGCTGTCCAAGCCGGTTAGAGAAAAGCGATGGCGCCGCCCTCCAAGGCAGGCAGAAAAGGAGGTGGCGGCGGCCTCCACGAGCAGGCGGAGGAAGATTGCGGCGGCCTCCACGGCTCCATGTCGTCACTGCTGTTCCCTATACCAGATCTGCGTTGCGACATGTGAGGGGAGGGAGGAGAGAGAGGATGGGATTGAGGAAGAGAGGGATAAAGTAGAGTGAGAAAGGTGAGAGGGGAAAGAGAGGAGGAAGAGTATGACCTATGGGGCCCACCGATTTTTGGGAAAAAAATTTGCTGACTGGACTGCTACGTAGGATCGAAACCACTCCGGATTGAGCTAGGGGGTAATTTGTCCGGTTTGCATAGTTGAGGGTGTAAAATGTCTGATTTTCTAGTTCAGGGGGGGTAATTCGGTCAACCGCGATAGTTTAGGGGGTAATTCGTATTTTTCCCTTAATTTTTTAATAATTTTTTTAACCATTTATATTAAGAATATGAGAGAAAAAAGTTACACGAGGAATGTCCCGAGATTAGAATCCTGTCTGTTGGGATGTGCAGTTAACAGTTGGATACATGCGTCCCGATAAACTAATCTTCCTTTATTTCTTGTCACGAACATGACGAGAGATAGCAGATCGTTGATCGTTCAACGTACTCCTCGTCATCAATTTCTTCGAAAAAAAGGGTCTAGTTTTGCACATGGCTGGCCCTATAAGCTTGGCCAGGTTCTTGGCAGTTGTCACCAATAATAAAGTTTTGCATCTTGCTCATTGCTCAAATAGAGCTAGCAAACTCTTTTTCCAAGGGATTATTCCAAAAAAAAAAAACTCTTTTTCCAAGGGTAACTATTGATTGCCTGCTTGCTCGCTTGCTCAGTAGAAGTACTGGCACTTGACCGGGCCCTAGCCAAAAGATTCCCAGAACATTGTTACAGTATAATGCCTCTTCTGCGCGGGTCACTTCAGAAAACTATGCTCCGTTGAAATATGAAATGTTGCTTTCTTCGTTCCTTAAAGGATCTTATTTTTAGGCTGAATCATTTATCCCATCAAAATCTTATTTTTGGACATAGAGATCATTTGATTTATAGTTATTATTCCTCGATTAGTGGTATTGGACCCGAAATCCCTAACTTATCATGCACATGCAGCCAAAGAGAATACACATGTAGCCAAGAACAAACCGCCAGGGATATTTTCATCTTGGCTAGTTTGAAAACCGGTAGTGATGTGCCCCATCACCACCACGTGCAGACTACCGATTCAAAAACTAGCAAGGATTAGTATTTTCTAGGGTTAATTGAATCCATGCCATTGTAAATTTACCCATTCTAAAAAATGTCAACAATTCATCTATTCGTAGTTATGTCATTAAAATTTTACAAAATTAGAACCGTGCCACCGCCGTCATATTTTCCATCCATCTGATTCCTTTTTCCGTCTTCTTCCTTCTTCTCGTGTCTTCTTCCTTGCGATGAACATCAGTCGGTGGCGGCGGCGACGGCGCTGGTGGAGGCAGGACTCTGGCTCCCGGTGTTGTGGTGGGCGTAGGCGGCCACGAGACCTGTGGGGGGGGGGGGGCTAGGCGGAGGATGAGCCGGCAGAGATGGGTCCCTCCGTATCCTGTGGCGCTGCGCCGACAACGGGAAGGAGAAATCGCGGATCCGACGCTTCATCGAGGAGGGGAAGCAGGGCGGCGTAGATCTGGAGGTAATAGAGAAAAATCTGAAAAAAAAAATCGATTTGATCCTGATCGATCAGAAAGGAAACTTAAATTGTATTCTATAAAATTAAAACAGTACTAGAAATTAAAGCATGTAGCCAAAGTGAAAAGATTAACAGGAACGCACGCGGCATGCAGCGGGAGATGACAGACTTGATATTTCTTAGCCAATCTCACAATGTAATAATCACCCCCCATAAAGCTAGCCTAACTAGTAGGTTCGCTGTTTATCTTGTGCGGCTAGCTACCTTTTCACCATATAATGTGTGGCATATAATTGTTGCTTTCAAAACCTATGGGAAGAGAGAGCTAATTTGGTGCACGCACCCTAAGCGTCTAAATATATGTATGCATTCCTTTCTAAGCTAAGGTTTTAATTTGATCCACGTTCACTTACCGAAATAGAAAACCCTAGATATAACAATGTATAGGAATAAAGATAAGCAGTTTTAACCGATTCCATCGATCAATTAGTTTGATACGACAAAGACATGACGGTCAAATGATTAACAACTTTATTTAATGAATTGACAACATATAGTTAAAGCTATATTATATTAATCAACACATTAAATTCTTAATTAGCTATTTGCAAGAGTATCGAGCTGGCAGTTAATTGAATACAAGTATATGTGAAAAATGGTTTTATTAGACCGAGTAGTCCAATAAAAAATGTTATAATGTTAGCACAATATAAGAAAGGAAAAAGTACGAATTACTCCCCCCAAAATTATCATGGTCGTCCGAATTACCCCTGAACCACAAAACCGGATATTCTTCACCCTCAACTATGCAAACCGGACGAATTACCCCCCTCGATCCAATCCGCGGTGGTTTTGATCTACGTGGCGTACGCGTGGCAGTGTAGTCAGCATTTTATTTTTTAAATGGTGGGACCCACATGTCATACCCCCTGTTTCTCTCTTCCTAATCTCTCTCTCGTCGGCGGAGGATGCACGGCGGCGCGCGGCGTGAGAAGAGGAGGGGGAACCGGACGGCAGTGTGAGGCCGCTGTGGCGGTGGTCCAGGCGGACCTCGCCCGTGGCGGCGGCTGGCGCCACGACGGCGAGCACCGCCGCCCGCCTCTCTGCCATGGCCGCGGCTTCTGCCGCGCCGACTTCCTCCGCCCCGAAGCGGCCGCGTCGGTCGCCGCCGTGCTCCACGGGCGCACCTTCGACGGGCGCCACTGCGCCGCCTTGCTCTCCTGCCCGCCCACGCTGCTCCCCGTCGGCGGCGATGACCCCCATGTCCACGCCCCGCGCGCGGATGGCGGCTACTCCTGCTGCTCGGCTTCCTGCTAGCGGCCGCTGTGGCGCCGACTTGCCGCGCTCGGGAGGCGCAGCCGCTGCCGGCGTGGCTGGATGTCGTCACTCATCCGCCGCTCCGCGCTCCGTCGAGCCATGGGAGCGAGGGGATGCCCTCGCGAAGCACGCCAAAATCGCGCCCGCGTTTCATCGCCGCCTCGACCAGGCCGTTGCTGATCTCGCAGAGGCCATGGCAAGTGGTACGAGGAGAGGATTAGAGGAAGAACCTGGCCGTGGATGCAGGACCCCGACGCATTGATCAAGACAGTCGCATCCATTGTCCCCAAACTTGCCACCACGTTAAAAGTGACTGATATAAGCGAGCCTCCGATCTCAATTCCTTTCCTGAACTTGTGATGTTTGCAAGAAACTACCTAGACAAAGATCATAGCTTGTGCTTAGAGCATATCGTGCTAACACACTTCTGATTTGGGATTTGGGGATTTTGGGTCGCTGCTACCCACAAACGACGAGCTGGCGTGGGACAGACAAGGTTCCAGACCAAAAGATCGAACTTAGAGAAGAGGAAGAGATTACCAGAGATAGCTCAAGATCCGACAAGTATCAAACTGAATCGACGGCAAATTCGACCCCCTGTAAGCCCCGTTAACCTGGCACCATCCTGAATTATCCTGGCCTAGCTAGTCCGTCGGACTGCCACCGTCGGCGAGGACGACTAGAATCCATGGAATCATCCATGATTCTCAAGAGCTCTGGGAGGAGAGACCGCGAGAGCATCGATCAGCTCTCCTTCTGAGGAAGAGGAGGTGGTGGCAGCGGCGGAAGGAGGGCGGGGTGGCGCGGGCGTGGGCGCTGCTGCCGGCAGATGAAATAGGCGCCCGCCGGTGTGGCACGAGCTGTCGCTGGACTTCTACGCCTCGCCTCCTCCGCCCCCACCACTCGCCTCGCCGCCGCGTTCGCCTCTCCGCCCCCTCGCCTCCTCCGCCGCTGTCTCGCCTCGCCGCCGCCGCCACCTCGCCACGCTCGCTACCTCTGCCGTCGCCGTCTGAAGGAAAAGAGAGATAGAAGAGAGAGAGAAACTGACAGGTGGGGCCCACCTATTTTTTAATAAATAAATTGCTGACTGGACTGCCACGTAGACCAAAACCATCGCGGATTGGGTCGAGGGGGGTAATTCGTCCGGTTTGTATAGTTGGGGTGAAGAATGTCCGGTTTTGTGGTTCAGGAGATAATTCAGACGACCGCGATAGTTCAGGAGGTAATTCGTACTTTTCCCTATAAGAAAATCTTTATGTACATATAACCGTGTTAACCGTTTGTGCAACCTAGGTCTTTATAAACCAGCTGTGCTAGGCACATGCATGAGCAATTGAGCACCGTAGCAAATGTATTAGAATGCTATATATAGCTGGACTCTAGAGGATCATTTGCCAAGCATTTAGCCATGTTTAGTTCGTGAAAAGTAAAAAATGACTCTTGCTTTGTCATAATCAGTTACTGGCACATTCTGCCTCCTGTTTTTTTATCAATCAGGATGTACTCCATTTCGGCTAATTAACGTCCATAATAAAATTTAATTTGATTTATGCATGAGTTTAATCGACGTTGCTTGGTTGCTAATCACTATATGTGCAACCGTGCAATATGCAGATCGAGTCTAGCTATCATTAATTTTGGACACTACGATTTATAAGGAATTAATGTATATATATGACAACGTACATCAGATTAATTGGTTATTTCTCTACATCAAATAACATTCAAATTAAGTAAAGTCTAATTAAGATCAATAAACACCGGTGGAGAAACCATCTTTCGTCGGTCGGCCGAATTCCACAATAATCCCGGATGCAATAAAAACCAGGGCTAAAGATGATCTTTAGTCCCGGTTAAAAAGGGTAACGGGCATATTTGATCTTTAGTCCCGGTTGGTAACACCAACCGGGACTAAAGACATCTTTAGTCCCGGTTCAAATGCTGTCAGGGCCTGTCAGGCCCCCTGGGATAACACCAACCGGGACTAAAGTCCCACCCCTATATATATGTCTTCTTTCTCCTCCAGCTGCCCGAGCAAGGTTCAAAATTTCTTCAAAAAAGAGGGGAGGTCATGCCAAAATTTCTAGTGAATTTATTTTGGTGATTACATATAAATCGGAGGTGCCTAAAAGGTTTGCAACTTCATCCTCCAATGTTTTTTTTTGTCATATTACATTTGCAGCTATGTTTTGCACACTTTTTTGTCTCCAAAATTTAGTTGTAAGTTGATGAGGGAGAAAATTTGTGTGGGGAAGAAAGAATATATAGAAATTTAGTTGAGAAGGTTTTATAAAATAGTTGAGAAGGAAAACTATAGTGAAAGTTAATCTTGAATACTAGAAAACAAACTAAAATGAAAATTAAAAGAAGTAAAACACATTAAAATTAGTTTAAAACTTTAGAAATAGTAAATAAGAATTATTTGGTGTAATATTTTATGATTTTTATATGAATAAAGATATATCATTATTGTATGACTGTTGAAACAGTTTGTAATTATCTTATAATTATTGTATGACTGTCATTATTGTAAGAATAATTATTTTTGTACGATTTTTTTTCGACTCATGTAGATGGATCGGCAATGGATGTACGCTGACCGGCGGTCCAAAGAGTTTATTGATGGCGTGCACTATTTTTCGAGAGTGGCCGAAGCTAACAGGCCACGGGGTTTTATTTGTTGTCCATGCAATAAGTGTAAGAATCAGAAGGAGTATTCTGCATCCAGGACTATTCATTTCCACTTGTTTGAGTCGGGGTTCATGCCAAGCTATAATTGTTGGACATCCCACAGAGAGCAAGATGTTGAAATGGAAGAAGATGAAGTGGAAGATGACAATATTCCGGACTTTGCTCAGTACGTTGGATTTGAAGGAAATCAAACGGGCGAGGAGGAAAGGGATGCTGATGGTAACGACGTTGCGGATGATCTTGGTCAGATGTTGCAGGACACCAAGGAGGACTGCGAAAGTGAAAAGGGCGCCCATAAATTGGACAAGATGTTAGAGGCCCACAGAACTTCGTTGTACCCAGGTTGCGACGCAGGGGCACAAGAAGTTGGATACCACTCTAGTAGTTCTTGCAATGGAAGGTAAAAAATGGGTTTAGTGACAAGGCATTTGGCGATTTATTGAAACCTCGTCAAGAACATTCTTCCGGAGGGAAACAAATTACCCGAGACAACGTACGAGGCTAAGAACATAGTCTGCCCGCTAGGACTGGAAGTTCAGAAGATTCACGCATATCCGAATGATTGTATCCTATATCGCGGTGAGGAGTATGAGAACCTAGAAGCATGCCCTGTTTGCAAAGCACTACGATACAAGATTAGACGAGACGATCCAGGAGAAGTTGACGGACAGCTAACAAAGAAGAGAATTCCTGCTAAGGTGATGTGGTATTTCCCTATAATACCATGGATAAGGCGTTTGTTCAGGAACAAGGGGAATGCTAGAATGATGCTGTCGGTGACATGGGATCAGGAGTATCATGACTAGAGGTTTGAGGCAGACACAATCGCACACGTGGCCTGGTACCCCCGAGGGACGTCGGGCCCGAGGGTGATATGTTCGCCCTCCTCTTAGTCCCCCCGAGGGGGTCGGGCCGCACCCCCCTCGGCCCCGAGGGCCGAGGCGCCCCGACCCCTCGTGGGTTTTTGCTCCGCGTGTATGGGTTAGGTGAGCACAGTGGGGCTCACCTAACCACATTTATTGCGGTTGGGCTGAGCGTGTCACGCCGTATGTAACGCAGTGCAGTGCACTCGTTTATCCGGTCTGTGACCAGTCACAGACCGGTCAGATCGCGGGTTAGGTGGCGACAGGCGATCTGACGCACGCCTCGCCCCATCCCGTCAGGACGAGGGCTTCTAGGCGCTCGCCCCCAGCTGGAGCTAGCGTGTTACCTCCCAGAGATGGCACGTTAGTCCTGGTCATATATATTGCCAGGCTTCATCCTACACCATTACAGGCACGATGTTGTGTGAAGAAGGGTGAGCATGTAGGTTGCTAAGCTGACACGTGGTGGACAAGAATGACCGACGTGACTGGTCTGATACCGGTCATGTCGTCAGCAGACAGCCACGATTCCACGTCGCGCCTGCTTCCGGCGGAAGTGGAGGTAGGTATGGGCCGTCCCATCAGAAGGTCATTCGGACGGCAACCATACAAGTCTCCGTCTGTTTATGAAAAGGTGGGGTAAGTCCCCACAAAAAAGAGAGAAATGGTGCATGTGGTATCCCCTTAAGATATAAAAGGAGGACCTTGTCCACTGAGAGAGGAGACTGGACTTTTCCAGATTAGAAACCCAGAACAAGGGAGAGGCTGGCTGATACTTTGTAGCTCCTTCATACACAGATCTCCCAAAACACAGGAGTAGGGTATTACGCTTCTCAGCGGCCCGAACCTGTATACATCGCCCGTGTCTTGTGTGTTTCCTGTCTCGCGAGCCTTCCACATACAGAGAGCTTAGAATCTCTCCCTGAGTCCCCGGCCGAACCGGCAAAGGGGGGCCTGCGCGGTCTCCCGGTGAGGAGCCCCACGCTCCGTCAGATGCGATGGCATGCTGAAGAGCGTCAACAGGACGGGATGCTGAGACACCCCGCCGATGGTTCGCAGTGGCGAAACATAGACAGAAAATTTAAAGAATTTGGAAAGGACGCACGAAACATACGGTTTGGTTTGAGTACGGATGGCATGAATCCTTTTGGAGAGATGAGCAGCGGCCATAGCACTTGGCCCGTTACGATGTGTATCTACAACCTCCCCCCTAGCTATGCATGAAGAGGAAGTACATAATGATGCCGATTATTATTCAAGGCCCCAAGCAACCTGGTAACGACATCGATGTGTACCTAAGACCACTGGTCGAAGATCTTAAGCTGTTGTGGAAGAAGGAAGGTGTCCCCGTGTGGGACGAGGACAAACAGGAGGAGTTTAACATACGAGCGTTGCTGTTCGTAACCATCAACGATTGGCCTACACTTAGCAACCTATCCGGACAGTCCAACAAGGGGTACAAGGCTTGCACTCACTGTATGGATGAAACAGAAAGTACGTATCTTAAGCACTGTAGTAAGGTTGTATACATGGGTCATTGTCGATTCCTTGCAGCAAACCACCCGGTACGGAAGAAAGGCAAGCACTTCGAACATAAGGCTGACCACCGTACGAAGCCTAAACATCGCAACGGGAAAACAGTGTTTGCTATGGTTAAAGATCTTAAAGTAGTGTTCGGAAAGGGGCCTGGAAGCCAGCCTATAGAGAGCGAAGATGGTCACGCGGCGATGTGGAAAAAGAACTCTATATTTTGGGAGTTACCCTATTGGGAATTCTTGGATGTACGCCACGCAATCGACGTGATGTACCTCACTAAGAACCTTTGTGTAAACCTTCTTGGCTTCCTAGGTGTATATGGAAAGTCGAAAGATACACTGGAAGCACGTAATGATCTGAAGCATATGGAACAACGCGGCGACCTTCACCTGGAACCAAAGGAGAAAGGAAGCCATTACTTGAGTCCAGCCAGCTACACTCTTAGCAAGGCAGAGAAGGAAAGTATGTTTGAATGCTTGGAGAGCATAAAGGTACCGTCTGGATACTCCACGAATGTCAAGCGAATAATAAGCACGAAGGAGAAGAAGTTCACAAACCTAAAATCTCATGACTGTCACGTGTTGATGACACAACTGCTACCAGTTGTAATAAGGGGTATCCTTCCAGATAATGTCCGGGCAACAATAACAAAGCTATGTGTATTCATGAACGCAATTTCACAGAAGGTCATCGATCCGGATAGATTAGAAGCCCTTTAGAATGATGTGGTGCAATGTCTCGTCAGTTTTGAGTTGATATTTCTACCTACATTTTTCAATATAATGACGCATTTGCTTTGTCACCTTGTGAAAGAGAACAGTATTCTCGGGCCTGTGTACCTACACAACATGTTTCCTTTCGAGAGGTACATGGGCGTTCTGAAGAAGTATGTTCGTAACCGTGCTCGTCCAGAGGCAAGCATCGTCAAGGGTTATGG